TTTGTGCGGTGGAAACACCAAACCCCAACCCGATTCTGACCCGGATGGGTTTTTCCATCGCAAAAACGCTCACCCCAACCCGATTCTGACCCGACTCTAGCCCGACTCTGACCCTCGGTGGAAACGTAGTCATAGTAAATGTAGACTGGGATCGGTATTCATAGTCGATTCTTAAAATCGCCTCAAGTGTTGAAGAATCGACTATGAATACCGGCCTCGGTCTACATTTACTGTGTTTACGTATAGAACAGAATGTTTCTAGACGCAAAGAGCACATTGCAGATCAGGTGTAAAGGTATGTACAAGACAGTGCCATTCTGCCGGCGACCCCGGGATTCGAATCTGCCGCCCGCGGCGCGCGGACGGTACACGCGGCGGCGGATGACGCAATCGCGCAACCGCGCGGGGCTTGCGCAAGGCGGCGAAACTGTCGGTGCGCCGGTGCGCGTGTGCGTGTACGTGCGTGTCGCGTGCGGGAGAGCCAGAGAGAGCGAGCCTACGGTAGAATCCCTCGCTGTCCCGTCGTTTTATCCGTCGTTTTATCCACCCACGGGTCTGTCCTGACGATGGCGAACGAGACGCGTTCAACCGGCGAGGAAGTCGCGCGCGCGGCGGATCACCAGGTCTGCAAGATCCACGACCCGGACGACTTCGACCGGATCACCCGGGGGATCAAGGTCGCGCGGTGCATGCAGTCGCCGTCGTCCTACGGTGAGCGGCGAGCGTGGCCGAGGGACGCGCACTCGCGCGCGAGGACGCCTTTGTTTTCTCCCTCGCCGAGTAGAGTTTTTTCCGCCGCCTCTGGAACGGAGAGGCTCCGGATTGAGTGCGGGGAGGTGCAGCTGGGCACAGATGGACGTTTGACAGGGCGCGCCGAGACAGGGCCCGCCTTTCGTAGTAGCGTAGGGCCCTGCGCGCGAGAAAGTGCCCGGCGAATGTAGGAATGAATGTTGAATTCTCATCGCGAGACACGGCAGTGTCTCGCGCCAAGTACAAGCGTAGCTGGAACCGCGCGCGCGCGCGAGACCGACCGTGTACGTTTACGCTCTGCGTCCACGTTCGTAAACTAGAATTCAAAATTTTTTGTATTACGCTTGTGCGACGCACTCTCGTGTTTACATCCCAGATAACAATTCTTGCGCGCAAATTTTGCTTGTCTTACGCATGCAAATTTGTATGCGATTTGCCCGAGTTTTGTCCGTAAGATACGTTCGGTCTGTGCTTTTGCACACAAGTGGCTAGCTCGTGTATCAACGTATAATTTTGCGCGCAAATATCTATCGACTCGCGTAAAATGGCTCAACAACGCAAGCAAAATTCCATCCAAGTGCGTCGTCGTAATGCCAGATGTTTGCGCGCAAAATGTTTTCTGGGATCTTGCGTCTTGTTTCTCTTCGTTGTGCCTCGTTGCGTTCATCTCCCTTCTAATTGTTCCTGTTCCCAGAGGTCAATTCTGAATCTGGCGACACGGTGAAAATGCCAAAGCCTAATCTACAATGCGCTCTCCGCGTCTAGAAACGGTCTACTTTGTTGTCAGTATGTTAAAAGGTTTGCGCAAGTTGACAAATTGTACAATCGTACACTGTCGATCCATTTTTAAGCGTTTCGATTGTATAAAATGGAATGTTTCCGGATGCAGAAAGCACAACAGATTGGGCTCAAAAGTGAGCGCTTTATACACGCTTTTAGCACTTTCGCTATAGTGCAAGATACATAATTGATCCCCTGATGTCTCTATCGTGCGCAGAGTCCAATTGCCTCTCTCTCTCTCGAAACAACTAAATTAATCAGCGTGAGATTTTGACATATTGGACGATTCGAAGGACGTGGAAGAAATGATGGTCGGAGCAGAGTTTTCAAAATTGTTTCAAAACTCAAGAACGGCACGATACGTTCCTGTCGCCGTTTAACGTCATTTGACTCGTCGATAAGACTGCGACATTATTTTCTTGCAGAATTCACAGTTACATTAAAAATGCAATACGATGATAATCGTCTCGTAAAACGATTATCGATATCAGTAAGAAGACTTTTCCTTCGTGCCTCCAATTAGTCGGACCTGACAGCGATCAGGAAATTAATCGTAATCACCCCGAGCTTAACTAGAGAACTGAGTATTTTGGTAAGACCCTCAACAGTCATCTTTCGATATCGGCGAGAAAAACGCAGGGAGTGTCTACACCCGGCGACACACCACATGTAAAGCCTCTCCGCTTTGCAGTGCCCGACAGCGAGCAGATATTGTGCCAGCTGGTGGTGTCCGACGCCCTGTGCTGCTCCTACTGCAACACCGAGTTCGAGGACAAGGTGCAGCAGAGGCTCCACTACAAGCTGGACTGGCATCGCTACAATCTCAAGCAGCACCTGAACGGTCTCAAGTCGATCAGCGAGGACGGTTTCAACAGGCTGGCCGGCGAAGGTACGGTCCGAGTTGAAGTACATGGCGCGAGTCGCGGGCTTTGCGGGCGGCGCGGAGAGTTAGGCGTGTTGGCAATTTTGTAGGCGACATGTCTAGCCTGTCCGGCAGCGAGGTAGAGTCCGAGAACGAGGACGACGCTGGTACCTCGGAGACTGGGACCTCGTCCAACGAGCAAGCCAAGAGCGAGCCGCCGAGCAAGGCCGGGCCCGGCAGGTCTAGAAAGACGTTGGAGAGACGCGGCAGGGCGCTCGAGTTGGACATCTCGGACACGGAGTACAACACGGAGGAGATGTCCAAGGAGCGGAGGCTGCAGGTGGTCGCGAGTCGCCACACCAAGGTGTTCTTTGAGAACGACGACGGCAATATATTTAGCATCTATCGCTGCCTGCTGCATCACAAGAAGGTGTGTTTGTTACCCGCCGGCGGGGATCGCCGTGGACCCTAGAGAGGTGTATTGTTGCGTATGCCTGCGAAAAGTACACTTGCGCGCTGAAGTGTTCGTCCCGAAGCTTGAGCCACTTTGTTAGAGTCAGTTGTAGTTGCCAGATCGGGAGACATGCGAATTACGTTTTAGGACATTCCCGAAAAAGACACCGAGATGATCGTTCAGGCGCTGGACAGCGGCAAGAAGACCAAGTGGACGGTCATCATGGTCGGCGGTGGACACTTCGCCGCGGCGGTATTTCAGGGTACGCATACTTGAGAGTGTTAAGTCGTCGAGCGTTACGTCCGCTTTCACTTTAATCGCAGATGGCGAGGCTATCGTGCACAAGACCTTCCACTCGTACACAGTGCGGGCGAAGCAAGGCTTTGCTCAGAGTTCCCGCACGAATGGTAATCACGCGAAGAGCGCCGGCGCCAGTTTGCGAAGGTACAACGAGGCGTCGCTCACTCAGGTGCGCACTTTTCAGTACTCGCACAGTTCTGCAGAAATCAACGAGCTAATTCAACGCGATGGAAATGCGTGGTGAAGTTAACGCGGCGTTTCTTTTAGCACGTGCAAGAGATATTGGAGTCGTGGTCGGCGCACATCAACAACTCGACGGCTATTCTGTACCGTGCGGTCGGTCCGCACAATCGCACGGTGCTCTTCGGCGGCAAGAATCCTCCCTTGGACAAGAACGATTTTAGAATAAGACCACTGCCATTCCCCACGCGAAGAGCGACGTTCAGGGAGGTCAAGCGGGTATACGACATACTGAGCACCATGGAGATCTACGGTAAACAGCTGACCGCCACTCAAATTCCATACGTGTTCCATCCGTGTCGATAGACTTGCTTTAACGCAATACCGTGCTTCAGGCTCCGCGGCAGATTTCACTGACTGTTTCCCCAATTCTCCGCGACAGCCGGTACGTAAGAAGATCCCGAAACCGGAGATCATGAGCGGGATACCCGAGGGAGAGATTGCCACCGAGTGCAATCATGGTGCCGGCGGCAACGCCAATCCGCAGGAGAACGATAAGATTAAGGCGCCCGCGCAATCCACCCCGGAGAAGCAACACCGGAATCCTCGTCCGCATATAGATAGGGCGAAACCGAGGAAAAGCCCGAATCGGCCACTGCCAGGTACATGCCATTAACATAAAACGTGGATAATTAAAGTCCTAGAATATTCTATTGTTTAATTTCAGACACGCTGTGATTATTGTTGCGAAATAACATCACTCGTACATTCTCGTTCGTGCCGCATTGCAGGAAGATTTCCTATTTTGCAGATATTATTGTTAGATTAGCTCAATCATCCTCCGAGTCCGAAATGGATGCGAATTTGCCACTGGACATCCCTTTAACTGAAGAAGACTTTGAGGTGTCGTTTAGGGAGAATTTACAAGCGTTTCAAGATACCGTGCCAAGGTACATGAAGAACAAGAAGGCTCATCGGCAGAAAAAGAAAGTGAAGAAGGACAGTGAGTCTCGCTGTTTCAAACGGATCATCTAAAGTTATAATCTCTTTGCGATCATTCAGAAACACTAAAAATGCTAACAGTTTAAATTATGCAATAGAAAAAGGTTTTTCTATTAACATTAGGAAAGATGGAGATGTATGTCAATACTTTCTTAAAAATGTTTTATGTTATTTTTAGCTCAGATGACCAATGAAGTGCTGTCGGATGCTAAAACTAAATTATGGACCGCCTGTAAGCGGGGCGACAACGATTTGTTATCATCGGTTATCGATAACTTGTTAGCCAAGATCAAGGAGTGCGAAGAGGAGCAAAGCAAGAAAGATATCACGGACGGCTGCGCCACGTCCAACAGTACCGCCGTGAACACGGACGACGTGGCGAAATTGGTTAACGATGTCAACGAGGACGGCAACACGGTGCTACATTTGGCGGCACTCGGTGGACACTACGAGCAAGTCTGGTGCGTGCGTCGCACACTTCGTTTATTAGACAAATTTTATAATTTTAACGAAACCGCAGGCTTCACCGCGATTCGATTTGTCGACAGGTTACTGCTGGAAATCGGATCGGACCCGTGCAACAAGAATAAAAAGCAACAGACGCCTTATGCTGCTGCGAACGACAAGAAGACTCGAAATACGTTCAGAAGATTTATGGAGGCTAATCCGGACAAGTTCAATTACCAAAAGGTGCTATTCACAATAGGACATTGATATACAGCGTCGGCCAAAATTACATCACCTTTAGATTTTCTGAGCATAACTTTCGTCAAAGTGCATCGTGTTTCCAAAATTTTACAGTAGATAACAGGTGCATCTTGTACATGAAGGATAATGAAATTTGACACAAAAAACCACGATTCTCGAATTTTTCATTCGTTCACTTTAAAACTAGTTATGCTGAAGAAATCGAAGGACGATATAACTTTGGCGGGAAACTGTATCTACTCGAAAATTGGCTTCATTATCTACGAGCTGTATCATGTATGTTTAAATGCTTGACAGTCTCAAATACCCGGGCCACTCTCCGATGAGATCGAGCAAGCGGAAACGGAGAAGAAAAGACAGCAGCGGAAGTTGAAGCGCTTCAAGGAGAAAGTTAAGAGAAAGGAATTCGAATTGAAGAAGCAGGAGGAAAATGAGAAGCAGAGGTTCCTCAATCTCAGCGACAAGGAAAAGGTTATTACACGAAATTCTTTACTCTCCGCGTCGATTCTGGCGTCTCATTTCTCTCCTCTCGTTCTGCAGCGAACACTGGTCGTGCAGAACCGGATGTTGAGCGAGGGCTACACCGTGGCGTCGCGATGCTTCCAGTGCGCCATCGATATGACTGATAAGGTGCCTTTCGAGTACAACGCCAATCGTTTCTGCTCAATGCCGTGTCTCAAAGAGCACCGTCTTCACAATAAATACGTTATCTGATGGTGCATCATGTCTAGCTAGGGAAACTTTTATGCCAATTACTCAATCGCGTTCGCGATTACGAGAGGCTGCATTTACCGACAACTTACTATTACACATATAGTCATTTGTACCGAAGTATTCGTACGGCTTCTTGTGGACTTTGTCTTGTAATAATTTTGAATGAGATGTAGAGAGGAATTTTCACGACGTTGTCGCGCTTTTCTTTTGAACATTATTTTATAATAAAGCACGATGATTCTCAAAAAGTAAGGACGATAATATCAAGATTTCTTGATTAATTTTAAGAAAGACAAACTTATGGCATATAAAAAATTTTGTAAACGATGTAAAAAGACAAACGATATGCTCGAAGGATTTGAAGAATTCTTTCAGGCTATAACAATGGATTATATATTTTCATCTATATATAATCGGATGTACACAGAGGGCACGTTTTTTACAAGGTGTAATGTGTCATTCTATGCATATATTTCGACTAATATTTGACATCTTTACTCGTGTATTAAATGCCGTACATATAGTACATGTATATAAGAGTAAAATGACAAGCTGCTAAAGGAAATAATAGCTACTCAACGTTCACATACACATTTGCGTTCGTATCGGAGTATCCGCGGAAAAATTGCGCGTGTATACATACAGGGTGCTTAAGTATAACGTGTTTCTAATGTTTTTCTTAATAAACAGAGAGAAAGACAGACATTGGTAAGTGATCAAGGAAAATAATGTCAAACAACAAAATTTCGATGGATTATGAGTATGTGCGTATAAATAATATAAGTTACGAAGTTATTAAGAAAATTTATAAAACTTAACTTATTAAAATCGTTTTCTATCACACTATCTCCAGCTATTCGTAAATGATGTACGACAGGCAAGTTTGACTGAAAATAAAAATCAGATTAAATTATGAACTTCGAGGTCTTAGTGAGGTCGTTCAAAGTGCTTTATAGATCGCCAAACAATATTTGATAATTGATTAGAAGTGATAAAATATAAGCATAGTTGGATCGCAAATACCAAAGGAATATCCTCCTGTTAATTATTAATAAAATCGTTGCAGAGGCAATTTATCAGAGGCACCCTATATATATCCGATTGCTCGTAAAATCGACTGTTAATGACTAGTATCATCAAAAACGAACATTCACCCGCGTTGCACATTATCCTAACGAGTTGATTTCGCGACTAACAGTACGATACAATCGCGGAGATCCGGCACGGTTTTTGCAAGCGAAAAATATTTCCCCGGCGAGAAATGAAACAAGTTTTGTACGTTCGAGACAATTAAACGATCTCGCAATTTCTTAAACGATCGACATCCAGCGGTGTATCGTAAACTCTTTCCATCGATGTATGTACAAGGTGACTGTCTTTACACTTAGTCCCTACAAGCTTGATAAAAATAGTGCACAAAATACACATTGTATGCAGAACGATCGAGCGGTCTCGCGCGATTCTTTGGAGATTCGAGCGGAATCGAATCGAAGGATCCGGGACCGGATGCAACGACCATCGTGTAAACTCTGACGAGAGGAAAATTTTTCGGTATCGCGAGTCTCTCCTCGATCGCCCTATATATTTCCATTCTGGTTTCCCTCTAGGACATTCGAGATATATATATGTACAAAGCAGAAATCATTTTGGAATCGAGAAAGTCAGTGAAGCGCAGATCCGAGTATCATTTAGGCTGAATGCATGCGAAGTGTCGCGTGTATCGTGGTCCTCTCTGTTCGTGCAAAAATAGGTATCCGCACTCGGTCCTCACTTCCGGTTTATTCCGCCGAACGGGACGTCGAGTGCGGTGTATTTAAGTACAAAATATCGGAGATTTCTATTCGAGATCTTTTTGCTTTTTCTCCCCCCCCCCCCTCTCTCTCTCTCCCCCCCTCTCTCTCTCTCTTCATTCTCCCCGCGTGTCCGTCTTCATCGCGGTCTTGACTTGTACTACTCTCGTTCCACTGACTCGAAGCGTTTCCCTCTTCGGTCTCTTACATAACGCAGTTGCGTAAATTCATACTGGAAGATTCTCGCGCAAATACTTTACACGACGATATTTTGATTCGAGATTTCTCAGCTGAAATTTCGCATCATAGACGGAAATTTTCAAACCGAATTCAAGAGACCGTGTCGAGACCTAAAATCTCTCACGGAATTTCCGTCGAATAATTATTCGTACAAATTGACATCGAATGCGTTACTCAATTAGTCGTTCCAATTGATATACCTGTGGAGATGAGACCAGCGTACTGATAATCCTACGATGGATCGGAACCACATGATTGATCACACCAATCTTTTCGTCATTGATATAAATTTGTACAACGACGTTAAGCTGTGTTGAAATTTCCCCAAGTAATTTTCTGCAAAATAACATTTTCCAGGAAGACTTTTCCGAGATAATTCGTCAAGATAATCGAGCTCTCTTGGTCTCCTCGAGATCGACCGATCGGCAGCTTAGCGGCGACGGTGGCGGCAATCGGAGCGATCGAGTCCGATGCGGGGGATTGCTCTCGCGCGAAGACTCCTCCCTTCGTTTAAATCGACGTGGAGTCGTCCGTGTCGGTGTCGTCGCCGTAGAGACCCCGGCCGTCGGTCGTGGTCCACGAGGTCGTCTCCACGCCGACCTCGTACCTATTCTCCTGCTGGGCGTTGTTGGACGGCACAATCCTCACGTAGGTTTCCTTCGCGCCGCCCATCTGCTCCGCGACGTTCCTCTCCTCGCAGCTGGCGGACTTGGAGCGCGCCTTCTCCTCGGGCTTCTTCGCCATCGCCTCGATCGACTCCAGCGAGCTTTTCCTGCGGCTGCTCCTGCGGCTGCTCGACCTGACGATCTGGTCCTTGCCGGTGGCCGAGGTCTTTCTGCCCACCTTCGGGCTGTTCTCGTTCTCCAGGTACTTGCGGATCCACTTGGGCGTGTCGCTCGAGTACGCCTGCACCTTCTTGGCGTACTTGCCGGGCGTGCTCGGCAGGATCATCGGTATCTCCGTCTCGATCACCGTCGTGATCACCTGCTCGTTCTCGTCGAAGTTGCTCTCGAGGAACTTGCGCTTCGGCGTGCCGCCCACGCTCAGCTTGCCGAGCGTCGAGGCGCTGCCGCTGTTTTCGCTGCCGGACGTCTCGTACGTGTACGAATAGTGCCGCTGGATGTGCTTCGGTTCCTTCTCCTGGTCCTGCTCCTTCGTGTCCTGCCTCCTGAGCTCACTCGTCTCCTGGTTCCGTCGGTTCTCCTCCTTCTCGATCCTCTTCAGCTTCTCGAGCGCGTCGTCGATCGAGTACCGCGGCGATTTCCTGCTGCCGGTGCCGAACTCCGGCAGCTTCACCGGCGACAGCAGCGACTGCCTCAGATTCCCGGCGATGCTGTGCCGCTGCCGGGCAGGCGGGTCCAGCAGCCGGCGCAGGCTCGAGTTCCTGATCTCCGGTACCGACATCCGCTCCCGCATCGGAATCGGCGGCGGTTTGCCGGAGCGCGCCGACTTGGCGAACGGGATGACCTCGGACTTGGGCGGCGACGGGGACGTCGACGTTTTTCTGCCCGTGAACGGGAAGTCCGGCGCGAGGAAGCGCCTCTCGCCGGGCGGGAAGATCGGCGACGTGGTCGCGACGATCACGCTCTGCAGACCCTCGCAGGTCGGGCTCTTGAGCCGGTCCGACGTCATCCCCATGAGTTCCTCGGTCTTCATCTGCTGGTGCTCGAAGATCGGCGAGCTGGCGATCGGTAGCAGCCGCGACTTACAGCTGTCCTGGCTGTCCAGGCTGAAGCGCTGCTTCGTCAGCTGACTGTCCAGGCTGAAGCGCTGCTTGGGCGTGCCGGCGATCAGCCGCAGGTCGTTCTGCGTCTCGAGCTCCGGAATCGAGAACCGATCGCGATTAAATTTGACCTGGGCGGCACTGTTGCCGCCCCCGCCGCCGCCCCCTCCTCCCAGATCCTTGATGTTTCGATACTTGGCGCCGATGTCCAGCTGCGACAGACGGTCGCGCTGGCTCGCCTGCAGGACAGCCGGCCCGAATCTCTTGTGCTTGAGGGGGTAGGGTGGCGGCGAGGGCGAGTGCATGCCAATGCCGCCGCTGCTGAGGCACGGCTGGGACAGCCGCTGCTGCGTCCGACCGGGGTAGTAGTCGCCGGTGACGAGGGTGGGCTGCGACAGCCGCTCGCGCTTATCATGCCGCATTGCGAAGCGGCGCACGTCCGGCTGCGACAGCCGCGACGAGCTTCGCTCCATCGTCAGGCTGCCACGGGGGCTCACGCTGCCGCCCAGAGCGTGTACGTTCGGCGTCGACAGCCGCTCCTCCTCGTTGATGCTGTTGTCGCCCGAGGCGGCGCGCAGACTGGTGTAGGACAGCCGGCCGCCGCCGCTGCGGTTCATGCCGACGAAGTTGAACGTGTTGATGCCGCTCAGGCTGGAGTTGAGGGTCGGCTGCGACATGCGGTAGCGACGGTCCGGCGAGCCGCCCGAGCGCCGATCGTACGAGATCAGCAGGGTCGGCAGGTTCGGCTGCGAGTAGCGGCTGCGTTGGCTCGCGGGCGAGTAGCTCGGCGGGCAGGGGGTGGTCGAGCGGGTGCACTCGTACGTGCCCGAGTCCTGGGACTCGATGCTCGACTGCGACTGCGGCGCCTTGACGGGGGTGATGTGCAGGTTCGGGTGGGACAGCCGGTTCTTGCGGCCCTGGCCCGGTCGCTTCAGGTGGTCGATCAGATTCGGCTGGGACAGCCGGACGATGCAGGGGTTCGGGCGCCGGTTCAGGTACCAGAGGTCCCGACGGGAGTACGGCTCGCATCAGAGAGTACCCTCCTCGCGCAGGCGTCGCATGAAGACCGGTCGCACGTCCTCGAAGAATGACGGCAGGTCGAGCTCGGCGGCGCGCGCGATACCACCGTCCTTGCACTCCAGCCAGTACGTGTCCATGAGGCCCTTGCCCTGGGGAGAACGCAGCCGGGAATTAAACTCGCGCCGGCAGAGCGACGAACAGAATGAGTTAGCCATTCATTGAGAATTCATCTCGACGCGGTCTTGCACCGACGATGGATACGTGCAGTACAATCGGGGAAAGAATCGATGGACCGGGGAAAAGTGTTATAATACTGATTTGTACAGAGGATTTATATAAACAATGAAGATACCTTCACGTCAACGAGGCCACGGTGCTCAATTTTAAAACCGCCCACCGCGTCGAGCGCTTTCTTCATCTCCAGGCTGATGTGAATTCGCAGAGCTTGGGTAGAACAGCGTATTAAAATAGAGGATTAATCAGTGCACTGAGACACAATGGAAAGTATAAATACATGTACGAGTAGAATACGTTGAGATCGATTTGAAGAATGTTTTCATTAATAGCTTAGCTATTTATACCTTCCCCGGTCGATTCCATGCGACTCGCGGTGTTGACGGTGTCGCCGAAGAGGCAGTAACGGGGCATCTTGCTGCCGACGATGCCGGCCACGACGGGCCCGGTGTGGGCCCCGCTGCGTATCTGCAGCCGTTCGCCGGGACGCTTGGGCACCTGGAACACGGACGAGGCCGCCAGCAGGTCCAACGCCATCGTGGCGATCTCGGACACGTGCTTGTCACCTGAGAGGGAGCGCGAAGTCGCGAGCGAAGGGACGTATTAAACGGAGAACGAATTAATCCGAGAGAACAGCAAACACCGAAGCGCGAGGAAAACGTTTCTTCGTCCAGTGTACCTATCATGGAAACGTCCGGAATGGATTCCGATCGGGATTATTCCGTTTCCCCTGGACAACACAATAGAAACCCAAGAAATAATTGAACATTCCCATGATAGGTATCCACCCAGATTGCCAAATTCATCAGAACAGATTTCGTTCAAATGCCCACTACAAATTTTGAAGGCAGACAGACTGCAGATTGCATACGGGAACTGATATATTCGACACGCTGCCAGGCGTGTCAGCAGAAATACAACAAAATCTGCTCACATAACTGGACCTGTTCGGTTTATGCAGACAATCTGTTGACAGCGTATGCTTTACAGACTCTGTTGCCAAAACAAAAGCTAAATGCGGACACAGATAGCCATGATCTCGGTGTGGGTTTCTGGTTAATCTGCTACCAATCTGCTAGCATTTTGCTGACTGGACAGGAACTAGGGGTGTGCGCGAAGAGAGGAGGGAAGGTGCCGCACAGTTCCGACAACGAAGCATGCTTCGAGACAACACGTGGAGCTGGGGGGAGTTTCGTACTTTTACCATTTCTAACGGGCAGACCAGAAGCGACCATGTAGGAGTCACCGATGGTCTCCACCTTGTAGACGTCGTAGCACTCGATGCGCGCATCGAACAGCTTGTAGATCGAGTTGAGGAACGTCACCACCTGGAAGAAACGCCGGATGACTCTGCTGTCACCGCCGATATATCCTGAACGCAATTCGTGCATTACGTTCCGCGCGTGAAATGGAAAATTAAATCTGGGTGGGTGTAGTCGCGGATAGAAGAAATAATAATCAGGTCGAGGCAAACGAAAGATGAAGGTAACGTGAGCGAGTAAATAAAGAATGAAGACGGCGAAATGATACATGGCGGGATGGACGATCGGTTGCCGATTCGAGCAGTCCTTGCGCGCGTCCTGCGGGAATTTGCGTGGTATGCGCGCAATTTCATCGCCGCGGCAACAAGCAGGAGCATCGCTCGATGGAACTTTCCCGTAATTTGGAAACGCATCAGGATCGATCGGTCATTTCCCGTCGGAATCGAGCGGGCAAGGACGCACCTCGAGGGGCGTGTTCTCCGCGGCGATCTCCGTGAAGCCGACTATGTCGCTGAAGTAGACGGTCACCGCCTCGTAATACTCCGCTGGCACCTGAGCGAAAAAATATTTATGAGTCTGTGGATCGCGGACAGGTTGCGGGTAATGAAAATACTTGTTTCCTCGTTACGCTTTATGATCGATCATTTAGAAGGAGCGCGGATCGGAGACAAATTCAAGACGCTACGGAGTTTGAAGATCAAAGAAGTCTCGGTTCCACAAATTTATTTGTCCGTAGATCAAGAGATAGTTTCGAAAAAACTGCGAGGCTCTAGTAATTTATGGAAAAAAAATCCAGATTTGTCGATTTCAGAGGTTGAGATTTACGGATGTGCAAATTGTGACTTAAGAATGCAAGATTTTTATAAGATCGTTCGAGTGCGTCGAGTATCGAGTATTTTTATATATATATATAGTTACACTAGGATCGTGGACACAGGCCTTTACATTCCTAAATTTTTGTTAGTTATTCATTCGAGATACTTGAAAAGTAGCTTGAATTGACCTGTTGAGTCTGCTTGAGTTGCTGGGCAACGCTAGGTGGTAGCATTTGGAAGAGCAGCGTGTCGCTCTTCCTCTTTTCACGTTTGAGTTCGCGGGCCTTCTGAGCCAAATTCGCGGCGTACATCTGTAATTAGCAAGTCGAACGTATTAAATTAAAGCTGTACACAAGTTACATTATATTATTTAATGTTAAAATCGAGGATATTCTCTCTTGTGTATTTAGAAAGAGATTTTTAGCACGTGAGAAAAATGAAGTATTTAAATATTAGAATCAGGGCTTCAAAGGCGAAGTGACTTGCTTGTAAATTTAACATGAAAAGATTGCTTTAGCATTGTAAAAGAGATTTGATCCTTATTGAAAATGCGCCTTTTGTTGTTTGCGAAAATGAATTTTCGCACAAACAATATCGAATAAATAACAAATCGATAACAAATGGCGATTGACGGATTAATATCGCTTGTTAATTTCTTCTGTAAATGGAACGAAAGCTTTACGAGCGATAAAAACGCTTTTGTTTTAAAGGCTGAAACTTCTCTCATCGCGACCTAGACTTCAACAACTGGTTTTCCATTGAGGCGTCAGTCACGGGACGCGACGTTTATTCGTCGACGACCTCGCGGCCACGAGAGCTCGGAATCGAGTTATAGGATTCGTCGCGATGCGAAGTAATTAACGCACGGTCGGGAAAATTTCCCATGGTCCTTCGCGTCAATTTTGCATCCGATGAAATGGTCAAAGTTAACTTTGATGAACGACAGTCGGAAAGAATCGTGTTATCGCGAAACTTAATTTGGGCAAACAGTAAAAGGATCCGTCGGAAATGCCATTTATTTTTCCGTAGAGGAAAAGTCCCCTATTATGAGATAGGCTCCTAATACGAGACAGCGGGGCTTCTGCTAAATCAACAGGCATCATCTGTTGGTTCCGTCACGAATTTATTGCCCTTGGAGTGCAATCTGCTTAGTGGAAAATTGATCGTTAGATTGTGTAATCGTTGCCAAAAAAGATTTGTGATTGAATGTGGACGTTGAAACCTACTGTCTCATATTACGCAGTGAGAAATAACTCGTCGATCGACGTCGAATCGACATCGACACCGTCGAATTGACGTCGATTCGACATCATTTCGACGTCGATCGACGAATCATTTCTCACTGGGTAGAATCCTATCTCATGATAAAGGACTTTCCTCTGTATATTGGAGAAATATTTTCGCACGCAACGTTGTTCGTCTCTTCATTTTCGATCCCCCGGTAAGCACCGGCTGACAGTTACGTAACATCAATATTACAATGTTTCCTTCTCAATAATGTAACTCTTGTATATGTATAACATGCGTTACGTTACAATTATATTGTTGCGTGAGAAATTGTAATGTTAACGTTATCTAACTGGTAATTGGTGTTTACCGAGTCGTAACTCGGAAATTATCGTCGGGACATTTTAATAAAACGTACGCACCCGGAGTCCGATAGCAGAAAAGCCCGGATTCTGAATTTCCGCGATGAAAATTGAGAAGCCCGTACTTATATAAATTACCGGCACGAGTGTCACATGAAAGAGAGACGCGTGCAGGCATGAAAGGAAATCAAATCGACGGCTTTGAATCGCAAACCTGAATGGTGGCGACGGCGTTGCGCATCAGTATGATAATGATAGGGGATACCACCAGGACCAGAACGACGATGGCGATACCCGCAACTTCCTTGTTGCTCGCGTCTTGCAGCGTCGAGTTGACGTAATCCCTGGTGAAAGTTGTCACACGATGGTCAACATACTTCATAGATCGTGTAATATAAAATTCATTAAAAATCACGGCGCGTTATTGACGACAAATACTGTAAAACATTGCCGTTGATAAATCGCGACGAGTACAAACTTCACAAAAATTACGAAAAATCGCTGACAATCGACACGGTAAAACATTACCTATAAATCGCGACGAGTACAATTTACTCGACATCAAGAGACTTGCTAGATTTTATTGGGAGGGAAACAAAACATTGCAACATTCTGCTTTATCGTTGTTAAACTGATTTGACGCACTGCAATCGATTAAAACTCAAGTGTAGAGATTTGGCGAAATTTCAGTGAAGTACGAGACTTATCGGAATTAGCGAATTTTACTGGGGCAGAAACGTAGAATTGAGGGAATCCG